TGAAAAAGGTATTTATTGTAGAGAATTGACGCAAATACATTTTAATCAAGATAGCTTCGACCATTTTTTAAAATATTTTTGCTAACATGGTGAGTTATTGGCTTGGCAGCGAGTTACGCAGCAGCTCATTTTCGCACTTCTTCGACTGTGCGGAGACGCGTGCCAGCCAAGCCATGCTCCACTGGTGTTAATTAGGAGGCGGTATGATTGGTGAGTACGCTGGATAACTATTGCAACAAGCGACCAAAAAATGACATTTTCGGACAATTCGTGTCGCCGTAAGAAACCAAAGCCGACAATTGAGAAAGGATGGAACATCATCACCATAAGCTTCTGAATGTGTTTGGTAAGCTTCGGCAACAGATTTCGTCATAAAAACAACAAAAGTAATAAACTTGGAAGAAGAAGAATTATGACCCCTCCACGATTAGCGTCGCCGTACGCTGAATAAGTCATTAATATTAGACGGAAAACTGTCAGTTTATGTAGAACAAAGCCAAAACCGTCGAATTCAAGCGTTAGGTACACTGGTATTTCCCATTGCTTTATCATTTTTACCAGTAGAAGTCGCTGATCAATGTAATGTCTGAAAATCAACGCCAACGCATTAGTTTGTCGTAATTTGAGCAAAATTTTGAGGAAGAAAAAATTTGGATTAGATGGAAGATCTAAAGATTGATGAGAAACTTGGGAGAAAAACAAAAATTGGAGAAAAGGGGAAAAACCATGCCAGAGAAAAAAATACCCTCTTTGTAAAAGAGGATTTTGATGCGTTCATCAAAGGAACAGTTATTAACAACCTCAATACATGAATAGCGATTAACCTCCTTTTTTTTTTTTATTTAAAGTATAAAATATTTGAATCAATTAACACCATTTCCGTTTAAATGATAATGATGAAGATTTCCAACTCGTATTATTCATAAGTGGACACACAAACAATTCCTCAAAACCTCATTAAGCCAAATATATGTATATATACGTGTGTGTGTGTGTGTGTATTTGTGTGTACATAGTTAAATTCGTAGAAAATTTATAAACCATTAAAAATTGATTTAAATCGCAGCAGATATGGCATACATTAGAGCGAAAATATAAAAATTTACCTTTGCATGCGGCAAGTGGAACAGATGGTCAGCAAGTTGGGCGGTGCTCATTCAGTTACGATTATTACAACTCGTTTATTGTTTTTGTGCGTCATAAAAAATGTTTTTATTTATTCTCAACGCGACAGACTCGGTTTCCTCTCCTGCAACCCATTCTGCAGTCTCTCCATTTCCGCTTGCTAACCATGCGACCATTCATTCGAAAATGCGGAGGTGGTATTTTTCAACTCTTTCATTTACTACAAATAAACAAAGCGTTCGTTATCACCCGCGCACATACATACACTTCATATTATGTTACGACTGTAATAATATTCGCTGATTTATTGTTAATGTCGCTTTAAACTATGAATATTTTTCATATCTGTTTTGTGATAAAAACAACAAAAACAATGCGAATCAAAATATTGTCGTAACGTAACAACAATAAAGATTCTTTATGTTTAAAAATAAAAATTTTCCCGGTCTATTAAATGCTTGTAGAGTTTTGATGATTTTTTTTTTAAATCCTAACCTTTAATAATTCTGGTACAGTTTCGGGAGCTACCCAATATGAGCCGTGGCATAGTGTGAGACTAATTTAAGCTTTCTACATCAAAATTTAACATAGACTGCCTTGAAAATGTAATCTTATCCGAAGAATAAATTGAAAAAAATTTCGGGCACAAATCCAACTTTTGCACGAGCAAATCACTTGTGACACCAAGTTTCGTTCATCGCTCTGAGTTTGTACGTGACTTTTCGCAAATGTACGACGCGAGGATTTCAGGAAGTGAAATGTACTGAAAGTACTCGTTTTACCCTTTTCTTCCGAATATAATTGACATGGTTAGACGTCACGAATCTTAATATACAGCATTGGCACAATGTACATGTGTGGTTGCGCACTTTGCGAGTGATATATATAAAACTTCGCTATAAAACATATTTTCGTTTAGTGGAAAGTCTTCTCTTGGCCAAAAAAATTGAGTTAACTAGCGGATACTTTTATGTATGTATGTATGTTTGTAAGATTTTTGACGAGCATCAAGTCTGCACTAAAGAGTAAATCAATTTAGGACAAATTTTTGATGAGCAAATAACTTTAAGAAAATAGAAAGAAGAAATGTTGAAGTTGAGCTCGGGCACGAAAAGCAAGTTTTCCATACAATTTACCGCGAAAACAAAAGACGTTCAATACAGCCTAAATCAAATGTCGCAAATGATTGCTCTGTATATCCGATATAATTGAGCGATCATCTAAAGCATCTACACTCAAATCTGTTTTTGTGCGAGAGTACGCTCCCTATTCATCGGATAAAAAAATACTCTTTAATTGTGTTACAAAAACTATTTTTTATAGTAATCACATTAAAAAAGATCGCATAAAAAAGATCGCACAAAAAAGATCGCACAAAAAAAGACCGCAAAAAAGCAGATTTGGGGGTATTCATATTGATTGGTCAATTTTTCAAAAATCGCACAGCAAATAATTGTATCCAATACCGTTAATACTTGCGTAAGTTCATGCGGATTTATGCATGTATTTCTTGAGTCTCTCTCTACATAAGATCTCTCTTGAAATACAAGCTATATTACAATTTTTGACTGTATAAGGCGAAGTGTTGTAGAGTACTTAAGGATCAAAATCGTAACATTTTAAATAGTTCTACGGGTTCGAAAATAAGCAAAGCTATGTTGTCAAGTTGATCAACTTTTTTGAGCTTAAAGGATCTTAATACCGTTAACCTTAAATGATTTGCGTGCATATTCTTCTTGGTTAGAAATCTTTCGAAGAGTACGAGAAAAGCCATAAAAGAGATAAGAGAAACCTAAGAGCAATCGCACAAATGCAGGGATAAGCCAAACAGCATACTTAGGTCGATTTAGGCTCTTAAGCTACCAATAAGGCATATGTGTCCATTATCGATACTATTCTGTAGGAAAGCAGAACCTACGATCGTCCCTCTTACTGTCTACTACGAATGAATGCGAAATGAACATGAGCGATAAACTTCTAATTGTCAATTTTAATTTAATAAAAATCATCTTAGCGGTGTAGGTTTCGACAAATAACGAATCATAAGAGGAACAAAGGAACTATTATGAACTCGCATCATTTCGAGGTAAAAGTACAAATAAATTGCAAACATGTCTTAAAGATTATTGAATGTGTTTAATGCCAAGCGGCCAAGCAATAAGGGACAAAATTTCTAATATAAAAAAAGCAAATTATGCAACAATTTATGTAATGACTTTTATGTTGACTAAATTTAGGATAAATCTCAGTTAAATTATTGATATTGAGTTAATGTGACTCATGCGATAAAATTATGCAAATTGAGAAGAATCATTGTAGATAAAAACTGAAAGAAAGAAATACTTTCCATAAACATCTGCAATCGTTTACTTTTCCCAACCTTTTCTCAATAAAAGTAATAAACATATTGTGTTTACTATTATCTCGCCTTTAAAGCGAAAATTTTTCCTTTGTCACACGAGCTCTTTCATTTCACCTTTCACAAGTATACCACAAAACCGATATGACCCACTCAGTATATAAGCACTTATTTTACAATTTATTACAATTATTTTCAGCTCAATACTTGCAATAAAAGCCTTCGCCTCAAGAACTCATTGACATTGTTCCAGTGTAAGAGCGAGCTCCACTGTGGGGCTTAAGATAGCGTTCCTCGAGCTCTTATTAAAGCAAACTATAGATTAACAATATACGGCACGTGTTCATGTTGATTATATTTTTGCCAATGGCATTGATCATTGGCGTCGACATCGTCGCTGTTGTCTTCGTAGTCTAACATCGACGAAAACATCATCATCGTCATCTGCCAGCCACAATAATTTCGTTGTCGTCGACATCTTATTGTGGTTGACTAGGCATGAAAGAAACGCAGGCAGAAGAAAAACCAAAAAAAAAAAATAAATAAATAAATAAATAAAATGAGTTCAACTTCAGGAATTGTATTCGCTTTAGGGCGAATCGCGGATACCCATTACCTTAAGTTATAACACCAAAAGGTATAATCTCTGAATGGGAAACAGGCCATGTCTTTAAAACTGAGTGGAATTGCATAGAGTATTAACTAGTGTTACAGTAAAGAGGTTCCGTTGTTTTAAGCAGGTGCTCGATCTTCGGAGAATTTCGACACAAACAGGTTATCTTTCTACATATAACATATACTGTTCGGACTATTCGTTGCTCTGGAAGTTTCACCAGTGAAAAAATATTTACATGAATTCGTGTGAGTCATGAGAAAATATTCCCAAAATCTTACTCTGATCAAGAATAAGGATTAGTTTCGACATCTCCTTTCTCCTAATATTTTTCTATGTCGCGTTACAAGCGCTTTATTCAAATTAATATATTTCGTATTTCTTTCTGCGATAGGCATAAGAAAAATACAATTTTTTCTTTTACGCTTACTCAGGTAACTAATTCAGTATTGATTGGTGTTGATAGTTGGACTTATTGGCAACGCCTAACCATTGCAACAATCTTAGCAGCAACAACGGCATATCTGTATGTACATTTTTTGTATATGTTGTTGTTGTTGTTGCTGTTGTTGTTGTTGTTGTTGTTGTGCGATTTGCTTCCGACTTGTGGTTATAGATATATATGTAGAATGAATTGCGGGCCTCTTTCACCATACGTGAGCGTCAAAATTTATTAGAGCGTTATGATTAGAATGTAAACTTATAGTTTTATACTTACGCAAAAGCGCTTAATTTAAAATATATTTTAGGTTTTAGGCAATTTTGTTACTCTCTTCGAATGCTTCGATGCTAAAGAAAATTAAATTAGAATTTCTTAACCACATCGCCAATAAAAATCACCCGGCAGACTACGATGACAAATGTTTTTAAAATATTTCATTTTATGCTATACTTTCATTATAGTATTCACTTGGGGCAAACGTATGAGCCGGAAATTGGATATTTTAAAGCGTAACGATAACAATAATACTCACAAATCTCAAAGTGATTTAAGGAGCATTTTTCAAACACCAACATTATCCACCACAAATGCCAACAACATATCGGGTAATTGCAAAAAAGATCACACACCCAAAAGCTCTTTGAAGAAATACAAATCGGAATCCGCTGAAACCCTAAAGGCTAAAGATCAATCGATAAAAAATCAAAGTAATGGAGTTTCACAGAAATTCGTTAATACAAGTACGCATGGTTTACCACCGAAACCCCAAAAGGTCTTGAAGAATTTCTTTCATCGCATCGGCTCGACTGGTATGCTGAATCACAAATCGCACAATTTGGTGAAAGCAGCTGAGCCCAATAATCATGCAGTGGCTACAGCAAGTTTGTATCGCAGTAGTTCTACTAGTCAGCTGGCTAGCTGCTCTTATGTGAAATGCGATGATCCTAGTGATGGTTTGAATTTCGAAAGAAAGAGATCCGCAGACAACAGTGTAAAAGAATGTAAAGAAGATATAAAAAATATGACCGTAGATAGCGTCAAATCAAGTAGTTGCGATGATATAGTCAATGTAAGCAATATAGCTAATGCGACGCCCTCGACTAATTGTCATGATTTGGTTACATCTCAAACTGGCTCAGATTCCACGGCCAATAGAAGAGGTGCTTTCCCTTATGCTTTCCTGCGCTCCCGACTATCGGTTTTACCCGAAGAGAACAACGGTTCCGTAGTAAAACAACCATCGTTGCTAAGTCTTCATACTCTCACTAGCGATCTCACTTTGCAAAGAGATCAGTTTTTACAAGCCTCCTCTTCCGCACCATCACCGCAACTGAAACATCGTAAATCAACAATTTTGCCAGCAGTAGGCTCTGATGATCCGATAATGACTGATAACCTATCGATTGTTGGTTCTACGTCAACTAACTGCGGCAAACTGATTTATAGGAATGACTTATTAAACGGCAAACGTTATTCTTCCGATGACAGTGCTATTAGCAACTGCTCTCCGCCATCCAAAACATCATTGGTTATGACGCAAATGTCCAACGCAAGTGTGGGCAGCGGCGTTGACGTTTCACGGAACGATAGCGTCACTTCTAAGGACTGGGAACCGCTTTACCAAAGATTAAGTAGTTGTCTAAGTTCAAACGAATCGGGTTATGATAGTGATGGTGGTAACAACGCTAATACAGCACGCCTGAGTAATGGTCTTAGTGTCTCGAGTGGAGATACAGAATCAATTGCTTCGGGTACTCTGAAAAGAAATTCTCTGATATCGCTAACTTCTTCAGAGGGTATGGGCGGTAGTGGCGGAAACGGCATAAGATCAAACAGTATTTGCAGTACACTAAGCGGTCCTGTTTCTTTGGGTGGCTACAATTACGACTACGAAACGGAAACTATTCGCCGACGTTTCAGGCAAATAAAATTGGAGCGCAGATGCCAAGAGGACTGCATAGGTGTTGTGCTTTCTCCGAAAACGGTGCAAACTGTTAACAATGAACCGCAATTCCGCTATTTGATTGTCGAAATTGAACCTTACGGTATGGCTCAAAAGTAAGTATTTTTGAGGTTATGAATTCTGAATATGTTTTATTCTTGCTTACATACATATATGTTATAGAGATGGCCGCCTGCGTTTGGGAGACGAGATAGTTAATGTTAACGGCAATCACTTGCGGGGCATACAGTCTTTCCAAGAAGTTCAACGACTGCTTAACACGTTTGTGGACAATTGTATGATTCTGGTGATTGCGCACGACGAAGTTACCACCATTACTGATTTTTGCACGAAAATCAAAATTGATGGTTCTCTGAATGCACGACAAGAACAAAATATCGATCTAGAAAGAAGGGAAAATAATGTTCCTTTACCTCCCCAAGGTCGTAACGACTACTTGGCAAGGGCGCGTAAACGTTTAAGTTATGCGAATAGAGCTCAAAGTACCGACAGCTTGAATAGTTTTAATTTGCATAGTTTACAAATGGCATTGGAGGATCTAAATGGCGATGGACAGGAGAACTATGATAGACGTTCCTTGACTAGCACAACTGCTCTAAGTTCTACAGTCGAAAGCTCTGGGGAAGCAATGAGTATGCCGCCTTCTATGCCATTGATGCAACATCGGCGTTGCTCAACGCCACGACACTCGACGGATGCCACTACAATGGAGCGTATATTTCGAAGAGCACGTTCTTCCTCAGGTCAGCGTAATTTGGATTTATCAAACACTAAGCTTAACAATCAAATTACACACTCAGAGATAAGTCAGTTACCAGCTTACACTCCTGTCTATAATAACCATCGATCATGCAGTGTAGCTTTGGCAACGCACACGATAAGCGATGATGAGAAGTGGCAGTTGTTGCAACATAGGCGCGCTTCACAAAGCTCCGAAAAGTTGAACGCATACAGCAGAGCGTCCGCTCTGAATGCAGATGAAGACAAAACCAAAGATACAAGCGATAATTCATTAAATTTGAGCAACCATAAGAATTACTTATCCAATCAACTTAGTCAAACAAATGATAAGGCGATCCAAGGACCCTTCCCAGCCCGTACCCATTATGCACGCAACTCAGTTAATCTCTCGAATTCGCATTATCGTTCGTTGCGTTTTGCTCATTCCCGTCTAAGCTCTTCCAGACTAAGTCTTTTCTTGCAACCTATTAATTCGAGTTCTACTGCTTTACCTAATCACAGTACTAGTCCTAAAATACCTAACTTTAATGTTCATGAGCCTAACAACACTACCAAGACTGCATCAACTACAATCACTTTAAATATTAATAAAAATGATGCCATTTGTAAAAGTGACGATGATGGTGAAGAAAGATCTGTTGAAAAGAATGCAACTCAGACAACAGCTTGTCTGATTGATCTCAATGCAAAATCATCATCACTCACAACACTACGCGAACAGCTACAACCTAACTACACAAGTAAAACTGCTCTAACATTTAATAAGTTAACCATAACACCTGAACATCAGCAAAAAAGTTTATATGTACCTGCCTCGAATGGTGGCAAGAATTATGTTACACTTACACTTAATTCGTCCTGCGCTTCCTCCTCCTCTCCATTGGTGACAGGTATCCCAAACAAGACAATGCTACAACATCACCGACCCTCTTTGCCGGTACCTAAACTTTCTCTAAGAGATGAAGAGATGGCTGAAGTTATTAGAGCTTCAATGAGTGACGGTAAGTAGTGGATGATCAGTCTCCATATCATGCTATCTGCTTATCATACAAAGGTTAAGGAAATTAAGATGAACTCTACCGCTGAAAAACGCAATCTTCTATGTATCTCTTATGCTTTTAATAGGTTCACGACGAGCCTTGCCTAAAACGGTTACTTTCTACAAAGGGCCTGGAATGAAATCTTTAGGTTTTAGCATAGTGGGAGGCCGCGATTCACCCAAAGGTAACATGGGTAAGTGAAATGATAGCAGAACGTTTTATATGAGTCATGAAATTTATATTTAATCTCTGTTAAAAATATCACAGGTATTTTCGTGAAGACAGTCTTCCCCAGTGGACAAGCAGCTGATGATGGCTCTTTGCAAGCAGGTAAACAAAGTTCGAAATATCTAACAAGACTATAATTAAACGATTTTCTGATTTGTTAATAAAGGTGATGAAATAGTTGAAATCAATGAGCAATCAGTGCAAGATATGAGTCATGCGGAAACCATAGCTTTGTTCAAAAATGTTAGAGAAGGATCGATTATGTTAAAAGTTCTCCGAAGGAGGCAAGTGTCTTAAAGAAATAATTTATCGTAAATGAACGTTAAATAATTAAATAATTTCAGACTGCAAAAGGCCAAATCCATGGGTCCTTAAACTGCATAAATTAGATATACTTTATTTAATTATTTTATTTAATTAGGCAAATGAATACGTGTTAATACCGACATAATATTAAGTTTGCTTTAAGATGGAATATATTAAAAAAAGGTTTCATGAAATTTTTTCCTAAATTGTTTTCTTGTTAAAGGCTTGAAATTTTTAATGTACAAATATATAAAAAATGAAATGTTGTATAAAATAATCTGAAATTTTATAAATTTGCGTTAATCTTATAATACATGCAAAGTAAGTATGCTTAAACGAACCGTCTCGTAAAGGGTGCGCTTGTTGTTTTCTTACAGAAAGGTTTACGGCATGCTGAACTCTTGCACCTCTACGCTGTCCTTCTGCTTCGGTACTGTTAGACGCTGCTTTTTAACAAAGTGTTCTATGCGATTGTTCAAGCTTTCTAAAATTTTAAAAAATGCATCAAAAAGTAAATTTTATTATTAGCATATCTTAAATTGTCTATGTGAAAATCTGCCAAGGTCGTCGTCGCGGAAATGCGTGAATATATGTACATATACCGAGAAAAGGAGCATATCATCATTAAGCGTACTGTCAGAGCAAGCAAAACAAAAATTTTAAATCCTAATTACTTTCACTTACCACATCTTTTACGGTTCATTAACTTTTGATAGCTTCTACATTTAACATCCTCCTGCAGAAGCGAAATCTGAAAATTGACATCGATAGCATTAAACTGATTTTCCAGTAGTTGTTCCAAATCATACAAAGTCGATCGTATCATGGTAGCTCTAAAAATTGAAGACGTTTTTGTAATAAAATTTATGGGATTTGAAAATTTTCTCTTACTTTATCTGTGCCCGAGACCATTCGCTTTGTAGATTTTCTATCAGTCTACGTAAATTATTTTCACTATGAAGCCATTTAGTAAGATCGCGTATGTCTTTTATGTCTTGTCGGGATTCATTCATTGCTTTTTGTTCAGACTTATCCCGAAACTCACAATGATAGAGGTTTAAAGGAAACCCCACGGCTGGAGTATATTGAGGCTTACTGCAGCACACTTTTCTTTATTACAATATAAATTTTTTTTTTATTTTGCCTTACCAAGGATTCTTCTCTACGTTCAGCAATTCGTTAATAACAGATGGTTCTTCCTTTTCCTGACCCACTAGTAAAAGAACTGCCATTATACACCTAATTTGATGCCAAAGAAAAGCATTAGCTCTGATTTCCAAATAATGCATAGCATAACCTGCAAAAGAATAAAAGCAAGTACTTATCAAAACCGTAACATCTAAATATAATGTAGACCTTTATTTTTGCTTTCATTTTCATGGGGACATAAGCGAACGTTCGCTGCTTCTATGTGCCGTACATAATTCGTTACACCGTTGTGTACATCCATTTTACATAAATTACGGAAATCAGTATGACGTTGCAATAGTTTGCAAGCGTCTTGCATCGCCTTGTAGTTTTTAAAATGTAATTGAGAACTAGAGATCGTCACAACTATTCTTTTTGTAAATACATACTGAAATATTTAAATTCCCTTTAGGGAAGAAATAACGATACGTCCTCGTTACGCAATCAAAACGGGCACTGAACAAATAATTCCGTATTGGCATCCAGGAAATGCATCGAATATTTTTAGGCAAAACTCGATTCATTATGCCGCAATAATCAAATTCCTTTTCAAGGTAACACTCCTCAAATTGGTGTTCCTCCGGGAATTTACTGCGCAGATCAATGGATATAACTTGACAAAATGCGCTAACTTCTTTATCAGTGCGGCCGCATCGATGATAATTGGCTGAAGATCGCGACTCAATTAAGCAAGTGCGCGTTAACGCCTTAAAGAGATGGAATTCTAAAGAAACGCATCGAACGTAAAAACATAAAAGTTTAGAAAAAATCGGAGATTTACCAATGGTATTGTTAGAATCTTCCTGGCAAGCAAACCCCTGATAATTCCAACCAAAATAGAGAAGCTTTAATAAAACGTGGCGCTTAAAAGTCCTAAAAGAGATTAAAGAAATTTTACAATAATAAGAAGCAAATGCATGTTTACTTGCTAAAATCAAATTTTCTCGATAACGATTTCTCCTGGTTTGGTTCAATGGTCGTCATCGTTTCAGTGCTTTCTATGCCCTCAGTGCCACCATCTTTTGATAGTTCACCGCTTTCAGTTAGTTTTATCATGTCATCATTATCACTTTCATTTAATTTTTTATGCAAAATATTCTTTAACTGTCTGTTATATGACTGCAGCTGTATAACTTTGTCGACTAATTCAGTTTTGGTAAGTTTTTCTAAATCATCACGTGTTAAATCCTTTAAACGTCTACAAATTTGTACTTTTACCGACATTATTATTTTGTAAACAAAACTAATTTATTGTCTACAGCGTTGCAAAATATTTTGAGTCAAGAAGAATTTACCATATTAAATCCATTATTTTAACTGATTTCCGAATTTCGATATGTTCAGTTACATTTTTTCATCATATACACGGTTTTTTCAATCGAACTCTTTCAAATATTTCTTTAAGAGTGACTTCCTTTAATGCGAATAATATTTGAAAATAGTATTTTATCTTTAAAGCGTTAGATTTACTTTAAAATTTTTTAATTTAATTTCTATTCGTAACCTTAATTCTTAATTTAATGTTATTTAAATCTCTATTTTATATATTTACGAAGTAAAATTGTTTGCATTGATGTAATTTTACGTATATACGATCTTTTTTACGAGATTGTCTAGTCTGAAAACAACTCTGTTATTTTACAACTCTGCTGTAAAGTCCACCATATTGAATTACTTTTTCTTCTGACGCGACGTATTTTCTTTGCCAGTGAATATTTTCTTAAATAAATGCGTTTAAAAGTGGAGGTTTTCATCTAAATCTATGAAAAAAGTGTTTTTCAGTAAACATTTTATAAAGTTTCACAAAAATTTGCTAAGAAATTTTGCGAAAAGTAAGTGTAATTATCAATTGAAACAATTGAGTGTCTCGGGCTATAAGAAGTATTGCAAAAAGTCTGACAACGACAAATAGAGAAAAAAAGAAAAAAAGAATTTCTCTGTATATGAAAGAAAAGTAGAAGCAATAACCCGAATACATACATACAAATTATGTAGGTTTGTTTTGCTAACTAAAATAAATAATGATGACAAAAATTAAAGTTTAGCTAGTTTAAAATAGAAAAATGTGTCCTTTTGTAGGCACTTTTATTATTAAACTAAATTATTCAAGAAAAAAAGCAAACATTAACTTTTGTACAAAAATTTACTTTTGCCTAGAACTGTGAAGAAACAAAAGACAAATTAAAATTTTGTCTTTCCATACAAATGAGTGTCGCTGCAATGACTTTGGACGATCATCAGAGACCATTGATGAATAGTTACGAAAAAATGTCTAAACAGTATGAACAAAATTTACAAAACTCGTCATCGTCTATGGCAATGGGAGGGTCGTCGTCAGCCTCCAATAACGCCGGTTTATTATCGGGACCGGCATCGCCAACGCCGTCTGGCTCCGAAGAGCTAAATACAGCACCAACTACTAACAGTACACATCATACGGCGTATCATCATTCACATCATCACCACCATCACCATCATCATGCGCATCATACGCATCATGCACAGCAGCAGCAACAACAACAGCATTGTTCGCCACCACCACCATTATCTTCATCTTTAATCTCAACGACAACTTCGACAACGGTAGCAGCAAATTCAACAGCTCAACACCAACAATCGTCCCCGAATGCAATTGCTGCTGCTGTTGTTATAGCTGCTGCCGAACAACGTCAACGTCAGCTCGAAGGTATATTTTTTCCACAAAAAACATTAAAATCAATAATTCAAATTCCAATTAAAACAGTTTTTATTTTGCAAAACGAAACAAGAAGAAAAAACAGCATTCAGAAGATTTCATGAAAAAAAAAAAATAAATAAAATAAATAGATTGTGTACTTTTGTGTATGTGTGTGTTTTGTGCGCCTAAAAACAAATTATATAAATATTGTCATAGATTTCTTATATAGACTTCCAATTTCTTAAATTTTATGTGATGTGTTGAAGGCAGTTTGGCTTCTCACACACTGGACTCATACGAGTTAATCTTTTGAAAACTATATGTCAGCGAACACTCTTATTGACTTTTGAGAACTTTAGAAAATCTTAAACATTTTACCTCTTCTTTTTTTTATTTTTAATTTTAACAAAGTGCTCTGAGTGACTAGCGAAAAAACCGTTTACAACAAAAATAATTTATTTTCCAAATTTTTAGATATTTAATGCATATTTTTCCTTTATATTTTCATAACAAGTGCAGACGAAAAATTGATAAAATAATAAACCAAAATAAAAAGTAAAGACAATTTTAGTATAATTAGTGATGTGCCTGAAAACCAATAATTGTTAAAAACCGAAAATTATTTCCGTTTTTCTTTTGCCTTATTAAATGAAATAAAAGAAGAAAAAAAAAATATGTATATATATACATATATATATATACGTATATATAAAAGAAACAAAGCATTTAATGATGCTTGCAAAAAGTTAAATAAAAGAGTAATAAACACATTTTCAGAAACGGATTAAAATCGGTGATCAATGTAATAAAACAGTGATAATTGGTCGTCTAATGCCAGCTATAATATATAATTGTATACATCTTATGATGTAAGCAGTATTTTTTGCTACTACTAGCTCCTCTCTGTTCGCGCCTTTTATTCTTGTTTACTTAACAACAATTCGCGTGTGTGTATATTGTTTCATGCTCTTATTTAAAGGAAATAAATAAGTCAAAATATCTCTAAAGAGCAATATTATTCATTTGAAAACTATTGAAAATATATATCATGGTAGAAATTGTGTTGTGAAATACCCTCTAAAAAATATTGTGTCAAAATGCTGGCTGCTACGCAGAAGCATGCTTAATATACATATCGCCAGTTTATATTAAGCAACAGAATGCCGTGATATAGAATAAAAACATTACATCTGCTTAAAACTAACAACGTTTTATTTACATTCTCTTACATTCATATTAAAAACTTCGCGTACTATAAGTATGACGTCTATACTTTATTTCATAGGTATCACTTATTCCGTTGCTTAATGTAAATTGACTTGAAACGAAATATAATATATAAGTGCGCAAATGTCAGAGATGGTATGAATTAAAAAAAAAATCACATGAAAGGAAAAAGTTCAAAAAAGCGTCAATTAAGAGTGTTTACGTAAAAATAATTGAAAAATATTCAAAAGCAAGGAAAAAGTGTATATTTTTCTTTCATTATAAGCAATTAAGATGGGGAGAAGCATTATTTTTAATAATAAAAGTCAAGTGTAATTTATATATCAAATTCCCTCTCACTGAATATTGTTTAGAAAAAGCGGTGTCGCATGTAATTTTATCTACCATTTTCTCTTTTAATGGGAGACAATGTCTCTTAAAAAAAAAAAGGCTGTATTCGTACATATATTTATCTCCTACGCTATCATATTTTGAAAGCAAATTTAATAACGGTATATAAGTGAGTCTGCAAACGCACAAAATGACACTTTTAACCGATAAAAGTAACAATAAGTACAACAATATCTACAACAGCAACAACATCTACAATCAACACACGTATGCAAATGTATGCATAAATATAGTATTGGTATGATTTCGTAATTTTGTTTGAAATTCATTCTCACTCACAATCATTTTGTTATTCTCTGCTTCTAAGTTTGTACGAAAAAAAAAAGTGAAAAGAAAAACATGTTTTTCTTCATCAAGATGGAAACATGTTTATTTATTTTTGATATTTTTTATAGTCCTTTTTATGTTTTGAGCTTACAGAATATGACATATATGTAGTGAGTGATTAAATTACTATTATCGTTGTTTTATTTAATGTAGAAGAAGTTGATAGTCTCAAGTTGGAACAATCGCGCCTTACTCAACAATTTAATGATGCCCAAAGACGAGAAAAAATACTCATGCGTCGTCTGGCCAACAAGGAGCTAGAATTTCAAGATTATGTGGTTAGTTTTTTTGTACGAGACATTTTTTTTTTTTTTTGTATTTTAGCTTTCGAATCTGCTTTATTGCTTGCAGAGCCAAATAGCTGAGTATAAGGCGGCCCAGGCACCTAGCGCCGTAGCTTTGCGCACGGCTTTATTGGATCCGGCCGTTAATTTACTATTTGAGAAACTTAAAAAAGAGCTAAAAGCTACCAAAGCTAAATTAGAAGAAACTCAGAATGAGTTATCAGCCTGGAAATTCACACCCGATTCCAATACGGGCAAACGCTTAATGGCCAAATGCCGTTTATTATATCAGGAGAATGAGGAATTGGGTAAAATGACTTCCAATGGTCGCTTGGCTAAGTTGGAAACTGAATTGGCCATGCAGAAGTCATTCAGTGAGGAGGTGAAAAAATCGCAATCAGGTGGGACCATCAAATTTAAGCAAAGGAAAATTATTATAGAACTCTTACCAAAAACTTATTATTTTTCTGAATGCGCTTTAGAACTTGATGATTTTCTGCAGGAATTGGACGAAGATGTGGAGGGCATGCAAAGTACCATATTGTTTTTACAGCAAGAACTTAAAACGACGCGCGAACGTATAGACGTGTTGGAGAAAGAGAATTATCAATTGAAGAATGGTATTGTACCAACAGATGAAAGTAAAATGGAAATTGACGTTGATAATAGCCATACTAAAATTGAGGAAGAGCAAGCCCCGATTAGTGCCCCAATGCAAGTAGATGACAATTCCAATGTAAATGGCAACAATGCAACTGACATTATTGACACTTATAAAGCAAACCCAAACCTGGAAGCAATTGACGAAAATGCCGCATTGAATATACAAAACATACAAAGTAACAGTAGTGTTTACTATAATGGTACAGAAGATACTTCGGTAGCTACAGATGTAGTTCCTGTTGTTCCTGTTTTGGCAAGTGACTCGCCAACCATAACATCTTTGGTTGACAGTAGCAGTGAGGGTGTAGTGCTTGGCACAAAACTGCGTACGATGGCATCTAGGAAACGTACATTCGACTGCGAGCCGATATTAGATACCAATATCGCTACACCACCAGCACAGGGAGCACCTGCACCTGTTCCTGCACCTGCTCCCGCTCCTGCTCCTGCTCCTGC